TGACCAGCTCACCAATGCCTGAGCGGATATGACGGTCCAGTTGGACACATACCAACGGGGAATGATGGGTCAAGGCCGTCATCATGCCATCCTGATTGGACCAATCTCGAATCATCTGACACAGCGTGAGGGAATCATCTTGCAACATCGCAGGATCAAACTTGAGTATCAAGGGAGTGTGAGCATCACTCTCATCAACAACCTCTGTCAGAAGGCCAATCTGCACACGTTTTTCCCAGCTCAAGTTGATGCCAGTAAAGCAAAGACCCCGCATCATATGTGCCAGAAATTCCACCGGATCACCCTGATTGCCCAAATTCTGCCATTGGGTAAAAATGGGTTGAAGAAAAGCAATTCTGGACAGTTCCACAGGTTCATTGTCATGTTGCATCAACATTTGCACAATCTGGGTGGCATGTGAACCCCAATGTTCTAGTGTGAACGTGCTGATGCTCAAGAAAGACCACAGCATTGTCAGGACAGCCGCATTGACATAGCACCAGTTGGCATCATTTGCCAGCCGGAGAGTGGACAGTCTCTCCAGGAGAACTTCACGCGCAGGCAGATCTACACTGGTAAGCTGAACATCTGCAGCTTGATGACCCTCTAAGAGGAGTTCTGGGGGAGTTTGGGCTGATGTTTGCCCCGGCCTTTGCCCTGAGTCTTGCCGTGACCCTTCCCAAGCAGCGCCTGAAGTTGTTGTCCCTGTTTGCTTTGGTACAGGGCGTGAGGCTTCATCGACATGCCTAGGAGGGTCCATACCGTACTCCCCTGCAATGTGGTCAGCAGGACTTGGAGATCGTCGGATCGCATCGAAATCTGCCAAAGCCAGGGCACCACTGCCTCTGACGACATCGGTCGTAGACTGTGGAACTTCACTGTCGCAGTGGTGTCTTTCAAGATGTCGATCAGCTGCTCGGAGTATTTCACCATCCTCGGCAGAGAGATGGGCGCTTGGCTCGTGGTTCGAAGACTCTGGGCATGGGCATTCCATCGTTGAAATGGAAAGTGGCCTTCTGGAGTCAGGAGGCCTTGCTCCAATGCCACCTTCTTCAGAGGATCTTCGTTGCTGCATTGGGCCAGTTTGGTCAACCTGTGATGAAGCGTCTCGGCCATGTGCTGGGTCAGAAGGCACCGTAGCGGAAGGGCTGGCTGATCTGACGCTTCTTGTTTCACCATGAGCTTCTGCTTCCATTCTGCCGCCTTCGGGACCAGGGCAGGGAGGATGGCCTGTGACTCGGCTTGCATGAAGCAGATCCATGAGTCTTGTCGCTTCAGCGCTTGTTGCTCGGCATCCACTTTCAGCAAGAGCTGACCCATCGCCTCTAACAGGCGAGTGGTATCGCCTTTGGACTCTGCGGGTTGACGTGTTGCCGGCTTGTGTTTCTTGTGGCTTCTGTCTCCTTCTGGTCTGTCGTACCGTTCCTGTATCAACAGAGGGCTCATTTGCTTGAAAGTTTCCAACATTTCGGAGTCCTCGGCTGTGAATGGTGTGTCGTACTCCATGATCTTGAAGGAGAAGTGCCAATTGCAGAACCACTGGGCACTGATGTTGCAAATGGATCTGAGCCAAGACTGATCTGGAGGACAGGTCTTGAGCAGTTTCATTTCCTGCTGGAGGATAATTGTAAATCTGCTGACATACATCACATCGAAAATCAGTGTGATTTTCACGCCCCACTGCAGGAAGCAATTGAGGCATCAGTGTGCGGTGGTCAGGCAGATCTAAGGCGTGAACACGATGCAAATGTCCAGTGAGTTCCGCAGGGTGAAGTTGGAGTCCACAAAGAAGGCATCTGGTGCGCAGAAAGCGCACAAGCATGGGATCTGTCCAAAGCATGGCAAATTGTCTGGTATGAATCATTTCACATAAATGATTGCCAGCAGGTTCAGAAATCACAGCTTGCAAAAACTGTCGCAAATGAGTCCGTTCCAAAGTCCAAGGCAAGAACATGGGGAGGGTCATCTTCTGCACCATCATTCCAAGCTGCCTGTAGGCAACGCAAATATGCTGGGGACCACTGGCATTGGTCATTGGGTTGCAAAGGCATCCAATGCGTTGACTGGCTTCGATAAGCAACTGGACATGTGGTTGAGCATCCCCCCATAGCTTGCTATGAACTGTCTGAAGATGAAGTGAAAGATCTCCAGTTCTTTGGAAAGCTGTCTGACAGAATTGGCATCGCAGGGTCAAGTGCATCCTTTTCTGGGGTGCCTGATGAAGCTGTGCGATGTCCCCAGATGTGATGAGCTCCTGCCATTCTGCTGTGACGGAAAGCTCTGTGGGCTGTCGAGCAGGGTTGAAACTCATACATTGTCCCAGCGTGATATGCTGACGAAGCGCAGATTTTTCTGCAAAAATGGCAAGACAGTGTGAGCACACGGGTTCAGATCCAGCTAACATGTCCCTGAGAGGTTCCCAGTCTAGAGGTTCTAGACGGTGCTGTTCATGCAAGTGGCAGTGCAACTGGAGTATCTCCTGGAACTGCTCACCACAAACATCGCAACGCAGAACTGAATCGCCTGGACAGGAATATGAGGTGCCCGTCATGTCAGTGTTGACCAAAAGTAGGGCAGCCTGCACCATTATGGGACATTGATGAACTCTGCGGAAAGTCTTGTGGCAAAAACGGCACGGAGAGTTGGACGCTTGTGCTCTCCCTAACTGACTGGCCTTGGACATCACATGTGGCAGCAGTGTCGGGTGCTGCGTTCTCATGTGTAAGTTCAGGTCCTGCGGTCGATTGCAATACACTCCACAAAGTACACAATGGTGAGTCCAGTCAATGGTGGCAGCAGTGAGTTGCTGCAAGGCTTCCCAGTTGCGTTCCTGTACCAGTGTCAATGCAGTGTGACCATATGGTTTGCTCATCAATAACGTCAGCCTGGCAGGTGTAAGCTTTGGATACTCCTGCTCGGCAGGCATAGCCGGCACCAGTGGCTCCGTCATGGTGTGAGGAGAGCTCAAAGCCTGGCAGCAGTTTCGTTCCAAATGGATCTGAAAATTTCTCCATGTGGGAAAGACTTCAAGGCAGTGTGAACATTGTGGCAACCCACGCACTGCAAATGAAGCAACTGTTGTGAAGTGGGTGCGTAATTGGGTCCATCCATGTGCAGTTGTCATATGTCTGCGTAAGTTTGAAAGAGAGTTGCACATTAGCTCACAGTACTGGCATTTGAATAGCTTGTGTGGCGCCTCTGCAGCTGGTATGGCCAGCAGGGCCTGAAGTTGTTCTTGCCATGTACAGTAAATCAATTGCAGCTGGGCTGTGAGTTGAGTCCAGTCGATTGTCCAGACAATGTCATCCCTGTCCAATTGGTTGAGTCGGCAACTCAGAGTGTCTTGTAGCTTGCGGCCGGCATGAAGCAGCAAGCTAAGCGGGTGATCCAGTCCATGTACTTGGAGAACAGTGGCATGAGTGTTGTGGGTAAGAAAGCTATGGTCTCCAACAATTTGTCTGTACATGCTGAAAATACACTGTTGCAGTTGCATCAAATCCGTCTGGGTAAAACCAGTAGGAAAAAGGCCGTACACCAAAGTCGAAAAAACACAGGAGTGCCAAAGCTGAAACCTGTTTTTTTTAGGTATTTGTTTGGCACACAGCCATCGACGCAACCGGGCAAAGGAATGTCTGGCAGCCTTAATCCTCATCTGTACAGTTTTCTGTTCAAATGACTGATATCCGACCATGACACCCAGATACTTGGCTTGAGTTCTGACAGGCAGCCGAGAGGTGGTCCCATTTGTACGTGGTATCAAAATGTGTGGACCCAGGGCATCAATGAGAATATATCTACGTTGAATCTCCCGACAGTTGGTCCCTCCTATTTTGATGATGGCATGGGATTTTTCTAATGACAGCTGAACACCAAGCAGTTCAAGAGTATCAAGTAGGAGTCCTACTCTATGCAAAGCAGCTTGCAACTGAGCTTCACTACGGAATACCTCACAACAATGAATGTCGTCAGCAAACGCAGTTAGGCACTGCTTGACCCAATTTTCATCGATGAGATCGCGCAGCTTGTAAAATAAATGCAGAGTGTGACTGGACCACAAAACAGGGGCGGCGCGGCAGCCTTGCCGGACTCCACGGCCAGTGGCCACCCGGTGTTGGGTGACTCCGTCATGCACTATGTAGGCAGTATTGACATGCCATTCACCCAACAGTGTGACCAAAACCTGACTGATCGGAAGGTCATTGAGGAATTGGAATAAAGTTTGTCTCGGGACTAAATCGAACGCTTTGTTTGCGTCCAACAGGACTTGCAAGCCACCACACACCTGATGACACGGTTCTTGCATAGCCCTTGCATGTACACTGCGTCTTTGTGAGGCTGTCAGGGTGCGGACCAGAGCACAGTGGTATGTCACTCTTCGGATAGCATCATAAGTAGATCTTTGTCGCATGAAAGCCAGTTGTGGCCATGGGCTGATCAGCGGGTGCATCTCCTCGGCAAACTTTCTGGTGAGAAGTCCTAGCACACATTTTCCTACCGGCTCCAACAGCGCCAGCGGGCGCAAGTGTTCAAGTCTGTCAGGGCTCTTGGCAGGTTTATTGATGAAAGTAAGATGTGCATCTTTCCACTGCCGGGGGATGAACACAGGGTTAGTGTTCCACCACTGCTGAAGCTTGGCGTATACATACACTGCAACCTGACTGGCGGTGCTTTTCCAGCATATCCCAGGAAGGCAGCTCCGTGCCACGGCTTTGGTTAAAGGAATACAGGCAAATTCTTGAGCTAATTCCTCAAGAGTAAATGGCACCCCTACCGGAGCAGGTTGACGCAACACAATGGGAGAGCTGCAATGCCAAATCTCTTGGATGTAGGCTCGTGTCATCTGCATGACTTCCGTGGCATTTGCTGGAGTGCCGTCTGGGAGCCTGAGACGGATCTTCTTCAAGGGCTGCTTGGGCGTGTATTTTCTAATTGCCTGGAACACCGCAAAACTGTCATGTCGATGGGACGCATGTGCAACCTCAGCAAGTAGGTCCTGCAGCTTCTGGCGTTTAAGATTTCTCATCAGGCGTTGTTGGTGTCTCTTCAAAGAGCGAAAACGACCATAATGAAACCAGACCTGAAACAGGGACTGCAGATCCGTACTTTGGCACTGTACAATGTGCGCATGATGCTGCCATTTGCTCTGGATCATCTGTGTCTGCATTGGATTAGGGGAGCTCAGTGGTTGAGCATTGGATCGTTCCTTTGGAAACGCTTGGTGAAAAACAGGCAACAAATTCTGATGCAAATCATCAATTAATGAAGTGTCTTCATGAGGCTGTGCAGTGAAATCAGCAAAACTTTGAGTGAAACTTGCATGAAACTGGTGCCAATGTTCATCTTGCTGCTGCCATGCTCGTCTGCAGCTGATCCTTTGCTGGAAGGAACAAGCAGTGGTTTGTGCCGTCCTGGTGAATGCATATGGTATCTTCCTGACCGAGCATATCATGGGGATATGTCGCGCTCCAGTCAAAGGCACAAAAGGTGCTCTGAGAATGATCTTGACATCCTTGGCGGTAATGTCAGCATCTGCAATGCGCATAATGACATGGTCAATACTAGAAGCTGTCATCTGATTATCATATGTAGGTGGATTCTTTGCATTCCAGCTGTTCAGAACAGTCAAATGAAATTTCGTCAAAAATTCCTGAAAGGTGGAACTGTCCCGATGTGGCTGGCTGCGACACAGTTTGCCATCCCATGTAAATTGGTTCGTTCCAACATGAGGTCCTGAAACCAGTGCACTGCAATTGAAATCCCCAATGATAACAGCACTGTTGCGGTTGGGAATCATAGCCATTTGATGTTCCAACTTCTGCCAGAAATCATGCCGATGATTATGCTTATGATGAAATAGCGTATCAGCATATTGATAACAGCCCAGTATATCCATGGATCTCTTGTTAAAGTGCAAGCGCAGGTGGCCGATCCGGCCAGGCAGCGGTGCTGTGAAGCTGATTTGATCGGAACTGCAGAGCTTCCTCTTGATAAGGAACAGAAGGCCGTCCGCCTTGTCAGTAGCTGTTCCAGTATGGAGATGATACCAGGAGGCATCAGTCCACTCACTTTCAAAATTCCAGCGCGTTTCACTGAGCAGGAGAATGTCCAGGGCAGAACGTTCTGCCCATAGTTTTATCTCATGGAGCTTTTCGGTGGCTAATCCACCAACATTTACATGACCAATTTGCATGCGACATCTCGGTGTATGTGCAGATGGAGTGGATTTCAAAGGTGGATCCCCTCCAGTGGTCACAGGTGGTGATATGCCAGGGGCAAATTGCTCTGGAGTCAGGCACCTGCCGCGGTACCAGGCGCTCCCTGTCATCAATGCCCTGCGAAAAGCTCTCTTGTAGCTCCGTTTCTGTACATTGCTGTAAACGCGATGTGGTCGGCTGGGATTCTCAGGGCCGGAGCCCAATTGCAGCGCTTTGTCATGATGTTTCGCTTCCGTAAGTTGATGAAGAGCCTCAGCATCGAAGTCAGCTCCGGCCTTGATCCATGACCAATCAAGGCAACCCTCACCCCCGCTCAGTATCTGTGGCTGTGGCATCTCCAGGTCGCAACTACAAAGGATCAATGAAAGAATGAGGAGTGCGCAAACCAGGGAGAGTCTTATTGTCCAACCTGAGCGTCCGGACTTGGGACCGGATTTGCAAAATCTGAAGAGCCCTCGTTGACTTGGTTGTGATTCAGTTGTAGATCGGATGTACAAACAATTGATCTCAGTCCTCTGTGATGTGGTGTCAAGCTGCACGCAAAATGGAAAACGCTTCAAATTGATATTGCAAAATGTTCGGAGCCACCCGCAGTAATAGGCCAGAAAAATTTGCCAGAAAATGTATTGTAAATAAAAGCCAATCGTAGGCACAAAAGAAAATTGGAACAGGAGCGACCCTGCAGTACAAGCCAGTGAAAAAATCAGCAGCAAGCAAATCTCCAGGAGGTCAATTTCTTGGTTGTGCGATGTGGTCAACAGACACAGCTGTCTGACAAGTACCGAAGCAAGCACTGTGATGCAAATTGAATATCCAGGTGTATATCTTGCAAGCTCCGCTGTGAAGCTGAGAAGAAAAAACCAAGTCAGATGGCCTGTCCACATCCACCAGAAATCTATATTGAAAGAGGAAATCCAGCAAACAAGGTATGGCGATCTACACTGAAACGACAAAACGGGCTAAATCTGTGAGCTGCCGCTAGAGCTCCTCGCTCTTTGAGGCATCACGTGTGGATGCAAAGGGGCTTGTGTGTGTGTGTGTGTGTGTGTGTTTTGCGCACACGCCTTTTCGAGCTGCAAGGTCAATGCCAGCCAAACGCCAAACTGTATTGGCGGTCCCTTTCGGAATCATGCATGGCCACATGGAAAAATGAAAATGGTGAAAAATTGAAAGAAGCCGCATGCAAGAGCTGGATCTGCCATGGAAGTTTTTCACGTGCTTGGGTCCGTAAGCATGTCCAAGAGTTCAGTCACTGATGTTCGAGGCTGCTGCATGTCCTGTCGGTAAAAAGGCAGTCGAATGGAATCTGATCGCGCCAGCCAAACCATCGTCACATTCTCAAGCAACCAATCTTGGAGGGTCCAGACCGCCTCCGGTGCACGCCAGTCATCTGTGACCAGCCATTGAATGGGATTTGTGTGATTTTGGACCATAGGGCGAAGACGCAAAGCAGCCCTGTAATGCCCTGAGCCATCATGTCCCAAATGAGCCATTGCCGCAATAACAGTATAGGCATGAAAGTCACTCTGAATCGTCCCATCTGCAAAGACCGGAAAAAAACACTCTTCATCAAGTTGAAGCCTGCTAAGGCACTTGTGAACTGTCATGTCCGGGCCCATCACGCATCTGTCCACGTGAACGCAGATACAGGTGGTCGGATGGAGCAGAGCCGTGTGCATCCCATCCACCTGCTGCCAGGTGCCGATCAGTGAATTCATGGAGCAATGTGGCAAGAGAATCTGGGTTTCATCAAATTTCAAGCAAATCGGAGCATATGGTTCATGGCTAAAATCAAGCATATGAGTATATTCTGTCACTGTCATCCGCTTTTCCCACTGCATTTGGAAGGCAGAAGACTGTAGCTCATTCAGCCAAACTTGAACAAACTCCGAAGAGTCCTGTTGAGAAATTGAAGAGGACATCTGTCCAATCGCATCTCGTCCCCAGCAACGCATGAGATCTTGGAAGAAAACTTGGGTGGCAAGAGAACTGAGTTGTGTTTTGGCAGTGCCCAAAAACCGCATGATCTCATGGCATTGTCTACCCCAAAGCTCAGGTGTGTAGCAGCTCAGATTCAGGACCGTCCAAAACAAGGAGTATGCCGCAGCATTGCAGAAGCACCAATTGTTCGGGTTGGCAAGGACCAGATGGGACACAATGTGTGTCAGTTCACCAGGCGTCATGTGAAGGTCACCAGTCAAGGCGCTGGTTTGGCCTGGTTGGCCTTGTGACCCTTCCCTTTCTGTTTCCCTTTCCCCTGTCCCTTGGGGCGGAGTCCCAGATTCTGCTCGATGGTGGCCGCCAGGGAACTCTGGTACAGGTTGTGCTGCTTGAGACTGGTGGCCAAGAGCGTCCAAACCTGGGAGTACGCAAGATGGAGCATGAGTTCGTAGGTCCTGGCCTCCCGGGATGACATCTGAAGTCTCCATGGTGTCACTGCTGAGTCCGGTTTCGCCGGCAGTGAGTGGAACTTCTGAATCAAGGTTGGATCCTTGAAGCCATCCTGGAGTTCCAGACAGTGCTCGCTCATTTTGGCCAGACTGACGGGCGTCTTCTGTGAGACCTGGAGCTTCTGTTCCTGCGGGTTCCATTCCATGAATGGTATGGTCTTGTTCTCCAAGAGAATCCTGGAGCTCTTGGCCGCCTCCATCAGTGGGGAGTCCTCCGGGGCCTCCAGAAGCTTGTGGACCCGAGTCGTCAGCGCTGTGAGCAAGGTCTGGAGCAAAACCTGGCGCAGGGGTCTCTTCCACGTTGATGCATTCTCCGTGGATGCTTGATGCCAGGTCTCCGCCTCTTGCAGCATCAATGGGAGAACGCCCTTTGGATCCTTGCAGCTGAAGTAGAAGATGAATGTTGTCTCTCGGTGGATCACCTGCAAGTCTCGGTCCACCCGAAGCAGCAGCTTGGCCATCAGGATCAGCAGTTTTTGTTGGTCGAGATGGGCGTCTTGCCCGTGCCCCTGCTGAGAGCTTTCTTCTTTTGGCTTTATGGCCCCGTCCTGTCTGCGTTGTCGTTTGGGTGCCGCTGGGTTGGGAGAAAGCTTCAGCCCTGTGTCCAGCATCGGCGCCAGGTTTTGGAAGGTCTGCAGCATCTGGCTCAAGGCTCCCTCTTGGCCCATCTGCCAATCTTGGAGTTCCATGATGAACGTGTGTGAGCAATAACGCAAGTTGCAAAATGCTCGGACACTGAGCTCGCAAGTGAGCTTGAACCAGCTGCTGTCTGGATGGGCAGGTTTGGGACGCAGGCTCAACAGCCGGTGTATTGAAAATCTGGCCACATGCAAAACAGGCACAATCATTGTCACTGTGATCCATGGCGTGTTGAAGCAGTTGTGCAACATATGTCTTGACAACCGGATGCATTCCCTGGTGTGCCTCATGCAAATGATAGAATAGATCCATCGCCAGCAGGTCAATGCCACAAAAGAAGCAAGTGCTGCTGCAGGCATCCAAAAGCAAGGCATCTGTCCAGAGCGTCCCAAGGTCGTACCGCAAAAGAGCCTGTTCCACTGTGCAGCGCAAATCAGCAGGAATGTGCTGTGGGAGAGCCCTGGCAAGTTCGGTCATGGTCAGCTTGGCCGGCATGAAAATGGCCATGGGAAGCCGGTGGAATTGCATTGCCAGTTGCCAAAATGGCATGCATATGTGTTGCAGTCGAACCACATTGCAAGACGGGTTGCAAATGCAGCCCAAGGTCTTGTAGTACCTCTGGACCATGTAGTGAACCAACGGTTTGGCCTCATTCCAAAGGCTGGAGTGAGAGCTTTGCAAGTGGGCCGACAGGTCCGCAGATCGAGTGCATCTTTTGGGACAGCATTGGCAATGCAGTGTCAATCTCATCCTGTTGCGGGAGTCCAACAAGATGGACTCAAATTGCCCATTGCAGCAAGCTGATGTCCAGGTGCTCAGTACTGCTGAAGGCATTGTAGAAGCATCAGGGTCATATTGCAAGCAGCGCCCCTGGTTGATGTGGCTTCGAAGGCCTTCCATCGTCTGGAAAAGCATGTGGCAGTGATTGCACACCGGTTCACCCTGAAAGCTATCACGGCTCTCGTGCCAAACTGAGCTCACCAGCTTGTGATCCTGTTGCAAGTGGCGGTGCATCTCCTGAGTCGTGGCACATTGTTTGCCACAGATTTCACATTTTAGCCCATCAGGAGGCGATTCCACAACACCATGCGTGGGTTTAGGGCCATGCACGATCAACAAGGCTACCTGAAACCAGACATTGCAAGAGTGTGACGAAATGAATGTCACTCCGCAGGCAGAGCATGGTGTTTCATCGCTATGCAAGTTGGTCAACTGGGTTGCCTTCGTCTGCACCAGGGAGCTATATGCATTGTGCATCATTCTCACATGTTGATGCATTGCCTGGGCTCTACCAACGTACTGACCGCAAAGCAGGCAGTGTCTGGACAGGTATGAGCAACCAGCCCGTTCTCTCAGCAGGTCAGGCCATCGACGTTGATGAATTAGGGTCAGCAAACGAGGTCCAAACTCATGACGGTGAATCGCATCCATCTCATGCTTGGTCAACTTCAGAGTTGATCCAGCTGGCTGGGTATCGGCAGTCCGAGTGACAGGCTGGCTCATTGATTGCTCAGGAAATGGTGCCACAGGTCGGGCAGTGCGCAGTGCCACAGTGTCAGCCTGGCATCCCCGTTGCACATGAATATGAAAGGATCTCCATGTTGTGAATGCAGCATGACACAGGGTGCATTGTGGTAAACCATGATGCATATAATGGGAAGGATCTGGAACATGTTGGCGATATCGAGTGATGCCATGTTCAACTGTCAAGTGGCGTCGCAAAACAGGCAAATGAACAGAGGAAAACTCACAATGTGGGCATCGATGCTCAAATGGCCAAACAGCCTCGTCTCCCGGCATCACAGGTCCGTGGACTACCAAACCTAGGTCAAGTTCATGCTGGATCAAATCCTTCATGCTCTGCAAGGGTGTCCAATCCAGTTGAGTGCTCAGATCATCTGCATGCCGATACAAGGGGGGCTTGGTAACAGACCGATGCAGAGAGTCAGCAGCTCTCCATAGCAACCGCAGCGGGGAGTCAAGGTTATGAAAAGTCAGTGCATCTGCATGTGTCCTACCTGTGGCAAAGGCATGATCATGATGAACTTGTCTCAGCATCGAAAACATGGTCTGCTGCAGCAGCTGCAAACAGGTTTTGGTGAGGCCGACAGTGAAAATGCCATATGTCAAAATTGGGAGTACACATGTGGTCCACAATCGCATGCGTGCTTCTGCGGCAAGACCCCGTCTGGCGGTGAGCCAGCGCTTCAGGCGGTTGAAGGCAAGTTTGGCAAGGCTCAGTCTGTGTCTGGTGGTGGCAAGTTCAAACTGCTGATAGCTAATCAAGGTGCCAAGATATTTGGTTTGCTTGACAACCGGAAGCACAAACTCCTGCACGCATCCGCTGATTTTGATCCATTCTCCTTCATGATCGCGAGAGGTCAGTGCCGAACGGACATGGCGGTAGCTGGTGCCACCCATGGTGAGGAGAATTGCTGATTTGGAAGTGTTGATGGTCAATCCTTTGTTTTGCAATGTTTCCATGATCAGGCCAAAATAGGAGAGAATGCGTTGCAATTCATCACTGGAGTAAAAGAGGCAACAAGCATGTATGTCGTCTGCATAAACATTCATGTGATCCCTCAACCACCGCCAGTCGATCAAATGTGCAAGGTCTCTGAGGTACAGAAGAACAAAGGCATTAAATAGCCAGGGTGCGCCCTTACATCCCTGGCGTACGCCAGCTCCTACTTCAATTGGTGTGGTGCTACCATTGACTTCAACATGATATGAAGTGTATTCATGCCATCTGGCCAGCATGTGCACCACCCTCGGGTTGTCAAGGACTTCATGCAGCCTCCCAAACAATTCAGCACGACTGACACTGTCGAAGGCTTTGCTAAGGTCTAAGAAGAGCTGAATGGCTCCACATACCTGGTACATTGGGAGTTGCTGATGTCTGTGAAAAACCGTCGGTTTTTGGGAGGCAACAAGGGATCGTCCAGCCTTGCAATGTGCCGCAACCCGGAGCAATGCATGTTGAGTGCTACGAGTTGGCAAATATGCCCAGAGAGGCCAAGCCAACAGCTGAGCCAGTGAGTCCCTTTGGGCAAGTCTGGCAAGCAGTCCCATCACAGCCTTACCTATAGGTTCCTGGAGCGCCAAGGGCCGCAAGGAGCCCGGATGACTTGGTTTCTTCAATGGTTTCGGGATGAGCAATAGCCAGGCGTCTCTCCAGCAAGCCGGGACTACTGGCTCAGCTTGCATCCAGAGCTGTTGCAAAATTCTGTACAAATGTCCCGCTAAAAGGTGCGAGTGAGCATGCCAAATCAGGCCAGGGCTGAAAGGCTTGGCAACAGCCTTGGAGATGGGTATCTCTCGCAGCGCCCTGCTGAGCTCCTCTATGGTGAACGGGAGTCCTGTCATGTCACAAGGCATTTTGGGGACCGTTGGGGATCCCTTCCAGGTGCAGCGCACAAATTCATGCATGATAGCCTGTTCTTCTACCGGAGAGGCCAAGTTACCATGCATGTTTCTGATTTGCAATCTACACTTGGGCAATCTTGGAGCAAAGCGATTGATGACCTGAAACAATTGATAGCTATCGTGCTGTCGAGCAGCAAGTTGGGCTTGATCAAGGATCATGTCAAATCTTTGCTTGCGAACCAAAAAAGCATGTTTCTTGTGGGATCTTCTGAGTGCATGAAATCTTGCAATATGAAACCACGCTCTGAACACATTTCGCGGGGATGGCAGGTGCAATTTTTTGCATTGATCCCTGTGCCTCCATTTGTCCATAATGATGGATCTTGTGGCATCCACAGGGGTGTCAGCAGTCTGTCGAGGCAATGATGGAAAGGAAGCACTAAAAACATTCCCAGCAATCTGATGCAATTCCAAAAAAAGATTGGAGTCCCATGGGTCTGCCTGGGATAGATAAGCATCGATACGCTCAGCTGAGGCAGTCATGAACGCTTGCCACTCTTGGGTTTGTGCAGCATGGGCCAGTCTGCCAGCAGCCCGTTGTTGTGCAGAGATGCCTGATGTTGTGTCCGTCGCTTGTGGTGGAATCCAATGCCTTCTCAATTGTCCCACCATGGGAAAATGTCCAAAATGATCAACCGCAAGGAAAGGAGATTGATGCAAAAGTTTGACATCTTTAGCCAACCCATCCGCCAAAGGCAGGCGTGTGAAGGAGAAATCAATACGTGAGCATCCATTATATCCCCTGAAGGTGGGACCCTGAGCATGTGTCCATGAGTTCAACGCAACCAAATGATGAGCTTTCACAAGGGCCAGAAAATCGCCTGAATCAGGGTGAGAGGGACCCTGTTGATGAATCCGTTTCCACAGGAAGCCATCACATCCCACATGGCCGGGAGCCGCAGGAAGGCTGCAGTTGAAATCTCCTGCCAAAAGGAGAACGTTCCTCTTCGGGAGCGTGCTAAGATACCTATCTAGACATGTCCACCAGGTCTTGCGATCATGGATCCTGGAGCTACTTGCCATGAAAGTATGCTGATAACACGCAACCAAATCAAAGCATCTCTGGGAAAAACGAAGCTGGGCATGTATAATCCTACCAGGTGCAACCTCTGTCCATCTGAAGGAGGTGGGTTTACAAACATGGGACGCAATCATGATCAGGATACCAGCTCCTGTCTGGGTCGGATGTCCAGAATGCACATGCATCCAGTGAGGATCACTCCACTCGTTGGAGAATTGCCATCTGGTCTCCGGGATAATCAAAATGTCAATGCATTGACCTCGACACCAGAGTTTCAGTTCGTCCAAGCGATGTTGACTCAGACCACCGCTGTTCCAACACAAATAGCGCAGATAGCGCTTGTTCTGATGTCGAGCATTGCATGTAAATTGATCAGAGACCGGAGGAGTGGATCTCGGCTGAGCAGGGTCTGAGCCGCCAGCGACCGCAGCAAACACAGGAGCCGTTTTGAGATCACCAACAGTGTAGCACTTTCCTTTGTACCAGCAGGTGCCATCTCTCTGAGCACGTTTGACAGCTCGTTTCAAGCTTCTTTTTTTCACCGCATCCATGGACGGCCGTAGGTAGCCGAAGCTGCTTGTTGGCTGAACTCCACGTTGCTTTGCACCATATTGGTGAATGAGAGCCTCTTCCCATGTGAGAGGTGCTCCAGCGGTTTCCGTGGTCAAACCGCAACCCTCACCCCCACTCCAGTTGATGTCAGGCATATGGTGATAAGAAATCCAAACCAAGAGGCAAAATTGGAAAATCTTAAATCCTCTGGAGTGCCCGGACTTGGGACCGGGTAGGCAGCCAGGAGGAAGCGCCCAAGTCAATCTGTCTGTGAAATTCGCCTGTAATCGATCAAAAAGCCGCCAAAAAAGCCCAAATGTGAAGGGCCAGAGGTATATCGTGTTCAGCACAAGGGCCAAATTAGCCAGCAGGTGCAGGATCCAAGAGGAAAAACGCTGTGCAAATGTTGTTGTAAATAAAATGAAACCAGAAAATTGGGTGAAAGCCCCATGGCAGAAGGCCAGCAAAGGTCCGTGTGCAACAGAGGGCAGCTGGATTTGATATAGCAAAAACCACTGTTGAACCCACGCCAATGCCCCACCGCAGAAGGCTGTCAGTGCCGGTGTTGCCCCACCGCAGAAGGCGTCAAATTTCGGTGTCCACAATTGAAGCCAAATCCAATGCAAGCCAAAAGTGTCAGGCCACCAAAACAGAGCCCCACAGCAGAAGGCCAGTTGTTGTCCGTGTTGAGCAAATTTGTCCCTGAATTTATAATTGGCCCCACTGCAGAAAGCCACAAACGACCACAGTGTAAATAGAGCTATCCACCTGTAATGGGCCCCACGGCAGAAGGCCAGCAAAGGTCCGTGTGCAGCAGAGGTCAGCTGTATTTGAAATTGCAAAAACCACTGTTGAACCCACGCCAATGCCCCACCGCAGAAGGCTGTCAGTGCCGGTGTTGCCCCACCGCAGAAGGCGTCAGATTTCGGTGTCCACAATTGAAGCCAAATCCAATGCAAGCCAAAAGTGTCAGGCCACCAAAACAGAGCCCCACGGCAGAAGGCCAGTTGTTGTCCGTGTTGAGCAAAATTGTCCCTAAAATTAAAATTGGCCCCACTGCAGAAAGCCACAAACAACCACAGTGTAAATAAAGCTATCCACCTGTAATGGGCCCCACGGCAGAAGGCCAGCAAAGGTCCGTGTGCTGCAGAGGTCAGCTGTATTCGAAATTGCAAAAACCACTGTTGGACCCACGCCAGTGCCCCACCGCAGAAGGCTATCTGTACCGGTGTTGCCCCACCGCAAAAGGCGTCAGGTTTCGGTGTCCACAATTGGAACCAAATCCAGTTGAAGCCAAAAGTATCAGGCCACCAAAACAGAGCCCCACGGCAGAAGGCCAGTTGTTGTCCGTGTTGTGCAAATATACCCCAGAAATTAAAATTGGCCCCACTGCAGAAAGCCACAAACAACCACAGTGTAAATGAAGCTGTCCACCTGTAAGGGGCCCCACGGCAGAAGGCCAGTTGTTGTCCGTGTGGAGCCAAGGGATCCAAAGTAAAAAGAATGGTCCCACTGCAGAAAGCCAGCTGATGATGTAGTTGGGCACAATTGCAAAGGATTCTCCAAGCCAGTGCAGTGTTAAGCCAGGCAAGCCACGTGCAAAAACTCAAAACACTCTGCAGGAAAAGTCCAAGGCTCATGTACACGCAAAGGAAACGCAATTGCAAATGGAATGACGAATGGGTGCAAATGCCGTCACAGAAAAAGCGGTTCCAATGAGAAATCAACAGCTCAGCAAAATCGAAGATCCGACACAAAGAAATCAGAAGTACAGCACAGCAGGGATCGAATATGGCGAAATGGCAGCAGATCGAAAACACAATGCGAAAACAGCCCAGAAAGTGTCGCTAGTGAACACGCTTGGGCGCCGCACTCGTGGCAGCAAAGGGGCTTGTGTGTGTGTTTTTTTTGTTTTTTTTTTCTACACTCCTTTTCCAAGAAAAGTCTCGTGCGCGCCTCAACATTTGGATGGCTCCATTGTTGGCCTCCAGGGATGGAGGTCTTTGTGAAAAAAACCAGCCATGGAGCAGGCGGATGCCCAAAAACTCCATTGGAAAAATGCTGCAAAATGCAGTGGTGATACGCTGCGCTGCCAGGCAAAAGACTAAGGCTGTCCTTTGACAGGTTCTGTGCGGCAATGCATTGAATTCATGCTCGGTAAATCCATGCTTTTTTTTTGTTTGTTGGGCGAATGCCTCTTGGCCACATTTTTTTTTTTTTTTTTTGGCTTCTTGTTTGGTGGGCATTTTGCCTCTTGGCCCTTCATTTGTTTTTTTTTATTATTATTATTTTGGGGGTCACTCACGGATGTGAGGGCTTAAGGGGAAACTAATGGCATGGTGAAACGGCAGCGCAGCAATGAATTATGGATGTCTACAGGCTTGCTATGGATGGATCTCGCTATGGCGGCAGGTGCAATCAC